TTTGTGTGTGTGTGTGTGTGTGTGTGTGTGTGTGTGTGCATATATATATATATATATATAAGGCTGGAGGAAAATGTTTTCTACAGCAAATGCCACTTAAAAAAATCATGCATATTTAAATAACATGCAGAATCAACATTGCATTTTAAACAAGAATGCGAGTCACGCAGGAAGATCCATTTTGTAAAAATAGTGCTCTTTAATATAAATTATGGAAATATCTTATAAATATAAATATGTGCAAAGATTCTTGCTGCATTTTCTATGTTAATGCCTTTGTTTTCTGATCTTCAAGCTTGCACTGCGGTCATCAGACCAGACCTTAAGATGAGACATCTTTATAAAAGACAGAGTAAAAAAAACATGCTGTCCTGTTGGTGGCCACACATGTAAACACCTTGATTTGACAAAATATGAACAAACAACAACAACAAAAGTGAAATAAAAACAATCTACAAGTGGAACCATAAAGCCCTTCCATAGACTCATAATACATTCAGTGAATAGCAGACGTCAAGTCCTGCCAATGAAACAAACACTGTGCCGTTGTTATTGAATGAGGATTTTGAAGCGCACAAAGTACGAATGCTTCTCTGAGGGATCAGAGAAGCATGGTCCTTCATGTCAAACACCACAGTAGATCAGTTAATAAAGGTTTCTGATACTGTGCTTGTATTTGCTTCACAGTATATAAATGTCAATTTGCTCATATTGAATCATCAACAATGTTCAGTCTGCTTTTTCCTAGCACAAATGAAACTAAGGTTTGCTTTGGCTCCTGTCATGAACTAAGTAACAACAGTCCACTGAGGGGCCGTCTTCTCCAGAGAAGGCTTAGGCCCGCAGTAACGGGCCTCTCGTCGGGTCGATATACGTTCACACCAGTCCTTTTTCTTGACCCCGCGCACGGTCACCAGAGCAGACACGGCAGTGTCGGTCGTGAGCGGTAAGTAGCCACCCCGTTTGCGCCCCCACGCCCGCTTGTGAGGCAATTACACTTGGCAAGAAGCAGTGGAAATGTGTACGTCATTGCAAACACCCAGCTCTCGTTCCTTCCTTCCAGGAGAAAGTCAAAAAATGTCGAGCTAAAGAAAACGGACGTCTCCCGATCGATGATGAGGAGCTGGACTGTAGCCATAGCAGCACACTTAACTCCTCTACTGATCAACTATCACTTGTGTTTATCTTCAGCAGTCCCTATTTGAGACTGGCCGCTGGAACGCGGAAGTCCGTCCGTGTCAACAGCCGCTGAGATGTCAGATCCGCATCTCGTGCTGTCCTTCAAAAGTTCACAATCCAGAGGTCGAAGAAGGCACAGCTGGCCTGCAATGCTGACAGACGCCGAGGTCTGGAGTGGTAATCTCTACTTGTGCACCTTAATCTTCTGCCCTTCACATATACTGTAAAACCCATCAGGAATAGCTAGATTGGAGCGTCGTAGTCCTGGAGGAACTCTTGGAGTGGATGAGGCAGCTGGTCCCGTTTGGTGGACACGTCTATGTGACCGTTTAAAGTCTTTCGACACAGGTGCTGCAGACTAGACATGCTGGACGCCAGTGGACGCAGTAGCTCCAGGGGGATCTTCTCGCCACCGGAGTAAATGAAGTACGCACTTCCGTCTGCAGCGCTTCCGCTGCCTCCAACAGCTTGGACCTTGGTCGAGGTCCCCATCCCTGCCGAGGGCATGTAATGATGGATGAGTTTGAGGACGCAATCGAAGCGCGGCACGGCCTGCTCGCTCCGGGGGTCGGTCTGCAGGAAGAAGGAGCAGGAATCACACTGGATGCGCAGGTTTTTGGTGCCCGTTGTCGTTTTGACGCTGAGCGTGAAGAAATGGTGGTGGTCCGAGCTGTCGCGCACCAAGAAGGTCCCCGAGGGCTCGGCGCTCAGCAGAGCGCTGGCCTCTTTCCCGCTCACGGTGCTCCAGTAGAAGCCGCTCTCTTGCAGTTTGCGCACAGCCGCGAGCACCATCTGATACTGCGCCCGAGAACTGAAGGTCTTGTACCGGTGGGGGGGCAGGGGCACGCCGCCTTCAAAGGGGCTGCTGCTCATGGCGCTGTCAAACCTACTGTGCGTTACCATGGCGCTCTGCCCGCCCCCTGTACCACCCGGCAACCACTGGTGCTCGGGGTCCAGGGCCGAAGGGCCGTCCCAGCCAGGGTGCTCATGCACCGGAGAGCACCAACACAACTCCCAAAGCTCTGGCACCTCTTCCACATCCAGAAGAAATGTCGTCTCGGTGGGTATGGAAGGAAGCTGTAGGGAAAAGCCAAATGGAAAATGTCAGAATCAACCAAACAGTGAGAACAACAGAAGCCAGTGCCAGCAGACTTACATCTGCTATGACATCAGCTTTATTAGGGCCATTCATGGTTCTAAAAAGTGGATTGGATGTTTCTCACATGTGTTCCTTATCATTAAAGCCCAACCCTCCCGCTCCAAAGAAACATCACATTCACACATTAAGCATTTCAATGATGTAATCGTCCTGGTTGAGGATAAATTACTGTATGGCTGTTTAAACATTTATTTCAACTTTTTATTTAGTATAATATTGGTAATGACTAGTATTTTGTCAATTCTCTTTGTTCCAAGACCTAAATACTCCTGATATCAACTTATTATTTTGGTTACTGAACTTTCTGTATTGTAGATCAACTATTCTCTTTTGACTAGCATGTATGCCAAATGTTGCTGGTACCTATTTCAATTTTACTAGTACTATTGCTACTATCCACCATCCCTACTAGTAACAAATTGATATTTTTGTTACTGAATTATATGGGAATCTGTTTAGATCAATTATTTACATCTGAATAGTATGGCAATGTTGTATGCTGGTATTTATCCCTTTTTTTTCTAATACTGTTACTAGTACTATTGGTAGCCAATTATACCGGTTACAAATTATTCAAGTTTTTTAATTATATAGAGATCTCTGTTTAAACATCAACCATTCACTTTCCACTAGTATTATTCCTGAAAGCTATTCTACTTTTACTAGTACTCATGTTACTAGTTTAAAAAAAATCCAATAGTGACCAGTTTGACTAGTCACTAGATGAAAATGAGTAACTTACTTGTTGGAACATAACAGATAATTTCGAAGCGCAAATGTTAAAACAGCTAGCAAATGGATAAATACATCGATAAATTAACGAGTTGCTAACCGAAGCCTTATTTTTAGCCCGAGCTCGACCGTGTAAATCCGATATCGACTTCGATCGCTCTCTTGGACTTCTGGAAAACAGGTTATGAATGAGGTCCTCCAGTTCGTTGTGAATAACCCAATTCCTCATTCATGACACACGGTCTCTGTCTCGTGTTACATAGTAAATACCCCTTCACTCTCTTATCCTAATTGGAATATAAATTCACCGACTTATTCGGGTTACCCTGAGGTCGTTACTAGCCCACATGCATATATAACTCATTAGAATTCAAACTATTAGGATAACGTTATGCGTTAGCTCGCATTACAAAGACCAACAATTCATTTTTTTTTTTTTACAGGGATAGCCTACCAGCACCGCATTTAACGAAGCATGCATAATAAGCCGATATAATATATGCATGCATTTATAATATATTAAGAATTTTAGTACATTACAATAAAACGTTGTTTTACCTTCAAAGTGTTATCCGAATCAATCTTGGAGGTTTCTTAAAACATAGCTCCTTTTATGATTTCCATATAACCACTTATGCAAAATAGACCTTCTTTTAAAGGGATAAAGATCAGTTTCATGTCAGTTTTTTAACAGTTGATCGGAGATCAGCTGTGTAAAAGTCTATGAGAGGTAGTGGAGGTGTCCTGTTTGTGCCATCGAGTTGAAGTACCGACTGATATTTCCAAAGAGCTCCACCCCCTCTTCCAGTAAAGCAACCACACACACACACACACGCGCACGTGGCGGATTGCCAATAAATAATCAGCGTGACCCTTTTTTACGGGATTTCTCCACCTCCCTTCCCTGTGCACACAAGGTGAAAAGTTGCATTGCCCTTGCAGATATAAATGCGGTCGGTGTGTTATTATGACTAATATCTGACCACACACGTGTTGCATATTATTATGTTTTATTGGTATATTTTATACAGAATAATTTTGCATATCATCAGGATTTATGTTGACATAGGGCGATTTGAAATAGAATACAGGGCTATAGGAAACGTTAAGTAAACATGTGACATGTGAAGGCCAAGTATGGTCACCTATACTCTCAGAATTTGTCCTCTGTGCATTTAACCCAACCAAGTTAGTGCACAAACATGGGAGCAGAGTAGTGAGTAAACTGTGTGTTCACTGCAATCCGTGATACCTGAAGGAGTAGGTATAGTGAAAGTAGTGTAGTAGCCTATGGTATGATAGTATAGCCTACAGTATAGTATTCAAAAGATAGCCAACTTGATAGACTCACGATGTATTCTACACACTGCCCCTTTACTGGGTTTGTTCCACACGCCATCTATAGGATGGCAGCAGTAGACCTCCCTCCAAAGCAAAGGACATCAATGAATATTAGGGATGTTTGTGAATAAGTCATTGATCAGAAGCTTCGGCTATTTATGAACCACGTGAATCAAGAACTTATTGTACATGCCGTGAACTATACATTTAAAATCACATGAGCTTTTTAGACCAGATTAAACTTTATTGTTTATTGTCAATAAAGAAAAAAAACTTTATTGTCATTTACAGAGCCAATTAAATACAGTTCGCATCAAAACATAAATGCATATGTATTTAAATATGATTTATTATTTAAATTACTTTATTGTATTATTTAATGTATTATGATAATATTAAGATTTGATTTAAACAATAATGGTGCAAGTAACAATATTATGACAGTGACAGAGATTAAGTTAGCAAAAAATTCCCCCAACACATCAAATGTGTGGTAAAATTCACAAAATTATAGAAAGACCGAGAGACCAGCTAGAATACGCTTGGCTAGAAGATACGGCTAGAAGTCCTCTCGTTTTACGAGCGAGTTTCGATAAAGTTTTGACATTCAAAGTCCTGTGAAAACATGGCGGCGCCCATGAGATGGAAAAGACTTGTGTTCTCTTCGCATACTCCTGCATTCTCCTGGGTTTTCACGAGGATAACAGACCGATTTTTCAGGACATACGATCGGAGGAGAGGGTAAATGATAGCCATCGCATTATGCACTATCGTTACATAAAGATAAACGATAGAAATCGCGTAATGTTAAATCGCGTGCTTGGCTAATGTTAGCTTGTGGTTGTATAATGGAGAGATCTTACATCATGTGTTGACTACTGTTATCAAGAGACTTTGAGAATATAAGTTGTAAACATCATAACAATAAACAATGGTTGCTGATTTAGCTCCGCTATTGTCCATTAGCGTATTTCCAGTAACTATCATTATGTCTAGTGACATGTCATTTTTAAAGGTATAGTTCTCCCTAAAAATCCTATTGAAGTGAATGATTACTCCTTGACATTTGGTTTCATAATCCTTTATTAAGCTGTCTAACTGCAAACTGGGGTTAGTGTGATGATAGTTTCCCTCTCACCAAATAAAACAAGGATCAGGGTTTGTTATTACAGAGATGTTATGTAATCTGTTATAAGGCATGTCTGTCACATTTTTTTTTAATTTTCACTAACTTATATTCTTTGAATGTAAATATGGACACTTGTTCATCTTCTTTTTCTGTCAGAACCATGTAGTCCAAGGTGAAGGTTTGTTGATCAGATATTCTTGTTGAACTTGTGTCATGTGACTTGCATTGCAATGAAAGAGGTTCATTCTAGAAAACACTGTTTACAAAGCAGCCATTTACTGCTTGCATTCTTCTGTAAAGGTCACTTTAATCAAATCACTTTCAGCCTGATAGAATTAGAGGCCTTTTCCTGAATATCTTCACTTGTCAGTGCAGATCTATGAGGGTTTTTGTACACAGGTCATGTTTTTGAATCAGGCTTGATGCATATGAGAAACACAGATAGTTAGTTTGTATAGATTCATAATCTGACACTCACAATGGACCTTCACATTGTTTTACACTCAGTCTCCACAGGGTCACGGTGCTCTCAAAGGCGCCTCTTTTCTTTTTGTTTTCTGGGGAGTTATGTGAGATCTACTGTAATGTGCGGTCAGACTCTGGGTTCTGTGAGGAAAAGCACCGTCTGGGTCGTAGAGAACTCAACGTGACCTTGGTGTTTGGCAGTAGATCTGAGTAAAGGGTTGCAGTTTGAGACTTCATGCTGTGTCATACAGACCATATTACTGCCTTTGTGTCTTCTGAACACTGTTGCATTTGGAGCTGGATTTAGGGCTCTCTCCTGACTGAGTAGTTTTAAATCAATTTTTGAGAAAAGGAGAGCTGTTGGTTTAATTATTGTATTTAAAATAACAAAAGATATTGCACAAAATTGTCCATATTGCAGAGGCATATCTGTAACTGCATTCTTATGAAATATTGAAACTTTTTTTGTTATTTATTATTGCAGATTTATTCACTGTTTTGCCAGATGCGACCAGGGCACAACAATTTTTTTTTACCAATATTTAAAATCACAAAAAGTTTCATTATAAAATATTATTTTTTGGTCCAAATAAACAGCTGTCCTTAGCAAAAAAAAAAAAAAAAAAAAAAAAAAAAACAGCTAAGCAAATAAAGTACTAAAAATAACATTTGTTTTTTAATTGGCAAAAATAGATGTCAAAAGTGAAATTTATAATGTCACCTTAATTTTTTTAAACTTCCTATTATCTATCTATTTTTTTTTTAATATTAAGCAGCATAACTGTTTTCAACATTGACAATAAGAAATGTTTCTTGAGCACCAAATCAGCATATTAGAATGATTTCTCAAGGATAATGTGACAGTGAAGACTGGAGTAATGATGCTGAAAATTCAGCTTTCCCTTTGCAGGAACAAATTACATTTTAAAAGGTATTTTGAATTGAAATAATATTAGACAATATTGCCTTTTTTAAAGTAGATTTGGTCAAATAAATGCAGCCTTTGTGAGCATTTAGAGACTTCTTTCAAAAACATTAAAAAAGTTTTACTGACCCAAAACCTTCGAACAGTAGTGTGTTTATTTGCACAATTTTACTGGAAAAGGTTATTTGGGAGCCAACAGGAAACAAAAACTAAGAATGGAGTTTAGTATTACTGTTCAGCCACCAGATTATACAAAATTTACTAATAGTGTAAACTGAAACCGCAGTGCATTGTGTACAGTTGAAGAGTTCTGCCAGCCTCGCTCTTGGATTCTGATTAAAGGGTTTCTCTGCCCCTTATTTCTGTCGTACTTCCTGTCATCCTGTAGGTCCGCTGTGCTGCTCTTGTCCCCTCTCCTGGCTGAGGCGGACTCAGCCCCCCTGGCCTCCTCCAGACCTCCAGGCTTCTCTGGTGCCGATGGCCTTCACTCTCGCTTCCACTGGATGGCTGATCATGTACCTGCTTTCAGGGTCCCTGGGGCCACATACACATCCTTCACTCACCTGATGAATTTTATCAAGCTATGAAGGTATGTGTGTTTGTGTGCTGGTTCAAAGCCATACAATTGCACCTTTAGGGAACCATATAGTCAGTAAATAGGACAGTAAGGTTGTAAAAAGAAATCCTTTGAACTGACCTTCGCTAAACAATTACACAAGAGCTGCTTTACAGCGAATTAAATTCTGTTTGCATCACTGAATTATTATTTTCCTGTTATATATTATAACGACAAAGTTTTTAAAAAAAAAAAAATTCTTTATTGTATAAAGGGCTATATAAATAAAGGTGACTTGACTTTGGCTTTGTTTTGTGACCAACCGATATTATCACTCCAATTAGTGCTTTTCTGTTTATAGTCATGCTTATATCATAACATTATAAAATATAGTGTAGATGATACTTACGAGAAGATGTTTTATATTACAAAACAGGTGGATCTGTGCCAAATATCCATTCTAAACATCATAATGTGTCTCTATTAGTTTTTAATTTGTTTTAAACATTAGAATGATGAATGTTTGTGTATAGTTTTAATTGTAATATTGTAACTTTTTTTTTAAATTGTTCATGTTAAAGAAAATTTATATTGCCATAAAATCATTAATGATACTCATACGGCTCTAAAAATAAATAAATATAAGATTAAAAATGGAATTAATCTTATTTTTTTTAATGCAGAAGTAAGCTTTATTCAGATCAGATTCAGTTACCGCTACAAGTAGCCTAAATAACAGGAAGAATAACAAAATGATGTAAATGGTTAAAAAAAATTGGGCTATAAACGAGTGTTTTTGATTACGATACTAAATTAAAGTAATGTGAGAAGTAACAGTTTGCAAATTTAAGCAGCATAGCGGATATTTTTGTAAAGCCAAAATAACTAGAAGCGGTTGAGAGCGGAAGCCTTGACACAATGAAGTTACAATGGCCAAGCCTGCTCATATGTTAAAAACAAGGCGAATAGCTTATAAAAAAAAGCTTTAACTCAAAGTCTCATTAAGTTTGTTGTTCTGTTTGCCTAGGCTCGCATTAAGACAGCCAAGAGTCGTGTGGTGATGGCATCACTGTACCTGGGTACAGGACCACTAGAGCAAGACCTGGTATGTAACCTGTCTGCATACATTTACTGTCACTGAGAAAGAGTCTGCAGTTTCTCATTGACAATATTACATAAGAGGAAGTAATGTTTGGCATTTATCGCCCTCTGTTTTAACCCTGTAAGTTTAAGAGTAACTCATTTGTTAAGCAAAAAGATCATGTATGAACAGTAGCTCATGTCAGAACCAAATCTGCAAACATTTTGTGAAAATCTGAAAACTCTGAAGAGAATTTGATCTGGTGTTAAATCTTAGTATAAAAATGTAATTTAACCACTATCTCACTGTACAGTAAGGTAACATTTCCTTGTTCTAATCAACATGCAAAACCAGCCAAGCCGTAACGTTCCTGCTGCAGAAAAACATAACCTGGAAATATTGCTTAACCCTAGTGTATGGTTAAACTCTAACATGGATTTAATAATTAGAGGCTTCTTTCAGTGACTGTCTAATTTTTTTTGAAGGTTGATTGCATGGAAGAGGCATTAGAGCGCTCACAGGAAGATCATGCACCTGATCTCAAAGTGTCTTTTCTGCTGGATTATACCAGAGGCTCAAGAGGTCTGTTTCTGTCTCTTTCACACAATCCTTTTCAATTACTGTAAAAATTACCACAGCAATACCACAGCGAGTGATTGGGAGCACTTCGACTCGGTGCATGTTATATCTATCTGACAAGTGACGGTTAAAGGACAACTCCGGCGCAAAATGAACCTTTGGTCTAATTGCACATTGTTACCTATTCAACCGTTATCTGAGATTTTTTTTCATGATTGCCGAATGTAAATAGTTTTATCTATTAAAACAGTTTAGCCTATAATGCTAGTATAACGCTAGTCTATAGGGCATAGAGTAATGACAAATAAAAATTGATTTTTATTACCACTAACAAGGCTCAAAATAGCCCCACAGTAACACGGTAGCACAATAAGGATCCCTACATGCAAAACGAAGCATTGAGAACTTTGTCAGTGTCCATACAGTTTAATAAGAAGATATTTATACACACAGTCAACTTCACGAATACAGGAAGAAGCCATCTTTAAAATATAGTCTCTACCAGTCGATCTACGAACGCTGATCCAAGTGCGCTGAACTGTGCAGAATCTTATATGGTCCATTGTTTCCGGAAGAAACACAAACACGAACCATTTTCTTCTCTTTAATATGTACATGTTGCCTACTGTTCGCGCTCACATTATCACTTTATTCACATCTCACCAGCGCGCTTGGATCGGCGTTCGTAGATCGACTGGTAGAGACTATTTTTCAAAGATGGCTTCTTCCTGTATTCGCAAAGTTGACTGTATGTATAAAATATCTTCTTATTAAACGGTATGGACACTGACAAAGTTCTCAATGCTTCGGTTTGAATGTATGGATCCTTATTGTGCTACCGTGTTACTGTGGGGCTATTTTGAGCCTTGTTAGTGGTAATAAAAAGCGATTTTTATTTGTCATTACTCTATGCCCTATATACTAGCGTTATACTAGCGTTATAGGCTAAACTGTTTTTATAGATAAAACTATTTACATTCGGCAATCATGAAAAAAAATCTCAAGATAACGGTTGACTAGGTAACAATGTGGTAATTAGACCAAAGGTTCATTTTGCGCGCGGAGTTGTCCTTTAAGCTCTTAAAAACATG